CGCTGTACCACCTGACCACTGCAGATTCATTTTGCAGTTGATAGTTTTGCCATAGAAATGCACAATACTCGTAATTAGGCTACCTTATTTATTATGACATGGCGTGAATGCAGCATTCAGCTCATCCAACCCCAATCAAACACACCTGAACAAGCTAATCAAGGCATTCCAGATTACTAGAAAACTCCAAGCAGGTGAGTTTGATCAGGGTTGGAATTGACCTGAACTCCTTGGATCTTTAAAACCCCATTTTACAGAGGTTGATATTGCAACAGCACGTATTCGTTTTAGTTTTGTGCGCTTCGCTGTCCGTTCCGCCTGACGCACCAATTCAGCGCATTTTCCAGGAGAGCTCATTGTGAGATCGCAGGTCGGGAGGATGACAGCTCGAGCATATTTCTCGTTGATCGCCGTTTTATCGTGTCTGTTCGGATACTTGAGCATAACTCGCGCTATTCAAAGGCGAACCACAGGTGAGAATATCTGTTGACTTCATTACACCGACTGAAGAAATGCAGAAATAAGTGACTCTCAATCTTCGAAAAGTAATTAACAGTTTAGGTATGAGTAGTAGGTTTTAAAATCCTTTTGATTTGAAGCAGACAAATATGTAAAATTTGTATTTAGGTTTGAGACCCATTGTGGAACCCCTGATTTCCAAATGGTGAAACTGCACTCCCTGGCCTCCACTAATGATCCTCTAGTGGATGGTTTGTGTCCGGAGAGGCTGACGGTCGTGCCGTCTGGTCGAGGATGCGCTTCTGATGAAGACTGCCCTGGAGGACACCAATGCTGTCGATTTGACTCTGGGCCTGTTTGCGTGCTGCCTGTTTTCAGTGAGTTCCAGTTAATAACGGACACTAAGACCCAATCCCAATTCTACCCCTTAGCCCTTCCCCTTTCCCCTACCCCTCCGTTTCGCGCGTTCACGTGAAGGGGTAGGGGTGTCTCGATTCTCTTTTGGTTGGAGGGGTAGGGGAAGGGCCAGATAGCCCTTCAAACAAAGATTTTTCGGGACCACACTTCAAACGAAGGGGTATGAAGTATCTCGGCGTAAAACGGCTTCAGGGGCAACATGGCTGCCCAAGCGAACAAAAAGACACAAATGTAAGCATTTTTGGCTTTAATAAAGATTTTAACGAAATGTAATCGTTTTGTTACATTCAATCGTGAGGTCATGTTACTCAAAGAAATGTTTGCAAAAAATCGTTAATATTTGCTAACTAACGTCATATCATTACAGACTGCACGATCGTGCCACAACATATTCATGTCTGATCTGGGCGATAACCACCATACACATTGAGGGGGGCTAGTCCCTCCAATAATTAGAAATCCCTAAACCCTTTTCTCAAATATCGCCATTTCGAGAGAGATGGAAGTTGCGCGTCAGTGCGTTTCTCTTTTTATATCCTCGTTGCTGGAAAATATAATGTAGCGATTCAGTATTTCAACTTATTACTAAAAGTTGTGGGGCAGCATTCACAAGTTTCTTTTGTCCTGGATGTGAGAGCTGCGCGATCTCCCATATGTGTGTGTCAGTAAGCAATGCAGTAATATAGAACGGTAATTAAAGGCTCTAATGCACACCAGTATAGGTGTGTGTATTGTAGGAGCTAGACGACGTGTGATGGCATGGTAGTGGTGTCCCAATTCTTAGGGGAATATTTTCACCCCTACCCCTTGACCCTCAGTTTCAAGGGGAAGGGGTATAAAATAGAATTTTGATTGGGCCCAAGGGTCCAAAAAAAAAAAAAGTGAAACTGAGTTCAGTGTAAATTTAAGATACTTTGCCTTTTGCGGTTCTCGTCTAAAGTAGGTTTGAATTCATCCCTTAGGATGGTTAAGCACAGGATGGCTTTACAAAATAGAGGAATAATGCCTAGAATGGTAGTTCCCAAACCTGTCCAGGAGGACCCCTTGCACATTTTGTATGTCTCCCTAATAAGACACCCAATTTAGTTCTTGCAGTCTCTACTAACGAGCTGATGAGTGCAATCAGGTGTTAGATAAGGTGGCAGGCAGGGGGGCCTGCAAGACAGGTTTGGGAACCACTGACCTAGAATAAAGTTCACTCTGTAGGTAACTTGCTTTCATGCTTTGAGTGTTTCGTGCTGTATGTTGAAGTGGCATACGGTCTATATATGCACAAACTAAAGCTGACTATCTTTGTCCACGCAGTGAAGCCTGGTCACTGCCCCATACCGGAGATGATTCCACTGTGTGCTGAAAGCTGTTTCCATGATGGCCAGTGTCCTGCCACACAGAAATTTTGCCCAACCACTGGTGGCTTTGCATGCAGTGAACCACGTGGTCCGGGAAGAGGTCAGGCAAGATGCCAGGGAAGCGGTTATGGCCAGGGCCAGGGCAGCGGTCGTGGCAGAATCGATTTTGCTTGACAATCCTCACAAGGCTGTGGTTCTCTCGGTTGGTTGTGCATCCTTTTTCTTCCCCACTTTTTCCTTCCACTCAACTTTCTGTTAACATGCTTGGATACAGCACTCTGTGAACAGCCAGCTTCTTTGGCAATGAATGTTTGTGGCTTACCCTCCTTGTGAAGGGTGCCAATGATTGTCTTCTGGACAACTGTCAGATCAGCAGTCTTCCCCATGATTGTGTAGCCTAGTGAACCAAACTGAGAGACCATTTTGAGGGCTCAGGAAACCTTTGCAGGCGTTTTGAGTTGATTAGCTGATTGGCATGTCACCATGTTCTAATTTGTTGAGATAGTGAATTGGTGGGTTTTTGTTAAATGTCAGCCAAAATCATCACAATTAAAAGAACCACAGACTTAAACTACTTCAGTCTGTGTGCATTGAATTTATTTAATACACGAGTTTCACAATTTGAGTTGAATTACTGAATTAACTTTTCCATGACATTCTAATTTATTGAGATGCACCTGTATAAGCTTTTCTAAAAGTAAGGCAGTAGATAATACAGTAAATTAATGCAGCATCGGTCTGTCCATTGTGCGAAATCTGCTGACAAACATTGCTCTAATGAGAGTCCGGTGCATTTGTAACTATCTCTATCCCGTGTGCTCATTTACACTAGCCATCAGACAACAAAACGCACAAGCTTTGCCGCTCTAATTAGATGCTTCTGGTGGTGCATTTCTGCTGCTGTACAGGCAGAGCATCTCAATTCTCAGAATAAATCAAACTATAATAACCTAACTGCTGCATCCCGCAGCGCAGGAGCTGCATCAGCCTCTGAGGAACATAAAGATACTTCAGCGACTCTATGGACGAGTGAAGCAGGACTACATCAGAGTACAGAGACATCATCAAAGCCTCAGAGCTCGACTTGAGCTCTCAATGCATTTCAATAGCTCTGTTGCTCTAATTTTCTCCTGTGGAGGAAGAGGCAAGGCTACAGCTGTTGCTCAAACTTTGGGTTAGTGATCTGAAGAAAAGCCTGAAACTATGGATTAAACATTCCTTGTCCTGAATGATTCCTCAAATTGTGACATCAAAGAAAGGTCTGCTGCTACTTTACTAAGTGATGAATACATGAGAGAAAAACACACAGATTTACACTGCAGAAACACAAGAATATCACAGGCTGCACAGATCAGATCTTTTTGCATGCACTCATATGGAAATCTCATATATAGGGCCCTATATCAAGAGTGATATTGCAATGTTAACTAAGGTGAAATATAAAAAAATAGGTAGATGAAGATATAAGTTTATAACGTATATAAAATCCCCATAGTAAAATTTGCATATGTACATGTTAATAATAATATGATTTTATAAATGGTATTATATGTAGCAGATCAGATGTTTATTCAGACTATTTATGACCAAAGTAGGTCTCCAGGCAAAACGTTAATGGCTTTAAAAGGACTTCAAGTGTTCAACAAACTGAGGAAAGAAATCAGCAATGGAATTTTTCCAAATGTTCAGACAAAATACATAATGCATAATACTCTTAGAGCATGAATCCTCATACTAAACCAAAAAAATAAACCAAATCCTCATATTGTCCAAGCAAGCACATTCAATGAAAAATCATTCAAAATGTGCACACCTCTCCTCAACAAGCTGTGGAATCCTTCACGTCTGTAGTAGCGGGATGAGTTACGTACCAAAGTTTCGAGGTTTGTTCAAATGACTAACCCTGAGTACAAGCAAAAATGAGAGTCCAAACAGCTGCAAAAGTAATCCACACCACTCCAGTCCATCAATTAATGACTTGTGAATTTAAAAGCTGCGTGTTTGTGCGAAACAAAACCATCATTAAGAAGTTAAGAACTTTAAACTGTCACTTCTGGCAAAAATATAAGTCTACAATCCATAATAATGCTTCCTCCAGTGAAAAAGTCTTTATGATGGATTTGTTTCTTACAAACGCACAGCTTTTCTCTTGACAAGACATTAACTGATGGACTGGAGTGGTGTGGATTACTTGTGGATTATTGTGATGTTTTTATCAGCTGTTTGGACTCTCATTCTGACGGCACCCATTCACTGCAGAGGATCCACTGGTGAGCAAGTGATGGAATGCTACATTTCTCCAAATATGATGAAGAAACAAACTCATCTACATCTTGGATTGCCTGAGGGTGAGGACATTTTCAGCAAATGTTCATTTTCGGCTGAACTATTCCTTTAAGGTATAACAATTGCAGGGTTTTTTATAGTGTACGAGGATTACACTATATCACTGATGCTTTCTCTTAATTGGGAGGTATATTACTCCCCACCTGCCATCTTTATGACTATTGTGACAGACCGTGTAATTCAGGTTGAAGTAAGAAGTGCGGTTTAGTTGAAACAGATGATTATACCCTGACTCTTGATAGAGGTTGTCAGAGCAAAGCACAGGTTAAGACTGGGAATTTTCTGCAGTGATAACTATATAATCCAGCACTCCTACAGGGAGTCATTTACCAGATCAAGTGGTTACGATGTGAGTCTGTGTGTGCATTAAACATGCTGATGGAGAAGAGGACAGTCGGATGAATCCCTGATCAGCATGTCATCCATTCTGTTGCATTTTAATGGAGCAGATTAAGGTGTAGCTTAAAGGTGAATTGTGTAATGTTTTGATTGAAATACATTCGCTTGTAATGTGCTGCAACTTTAATAGGAAATCAGACTGATTTTCACCTGGTAGACTATAAAACAGATCATAAAATCCCACAGATTGGCATTTAATGAGGGATTAGGGCACAGTACTTTGCACCAGGGTTATTATAGTTAACTAAAAATAAAACCATAAAAAATTACTTAAAGGTGACATATCATGAAAATCTGACTTTTCCAGGTTTTAAGTGCTATAATCAGGTCCCTGGTGCATCTACCAACCAAGGAAACGTGAAAAAGATTAATCCAATCACTTTGTTTTGGAAAGCCTTTTTCTGCAAGCGTCTGAGAAAACCAGCGCATGTGATTTTGCTCCCTTGGTGACGTGGCAAAGGGATCTCATAATATTACCGCCCCTTAATCTGTAAACTTCCACTCAAGGCAACGGTGTACCAGCTCTAATGCCATGGCGAAAGTTTGAGCAAAACATGCTAACTGTTCTGTCTTTGGCTGCACAGACGAGCACAGAACACTGTTTAGAGTCCCAGCCTCAGAGGAGACAACAGAGCAGTGGATATATCGATTTATTTACTGTATATTGCTGCTGCCACACAGATCTAAAATAAACAAGCGATTTATTTCCCAGCTGTTTACCTTCACAGACATAACCCACTGCTTTTGTAACTCGTGTGTTTTTAACGTAAAC